CATGAGATAATTGAGCATGGATGATTTTAAATGGCAGACAGATTTATTCATGTCAAATCCTGCTCAGATTTAGTCACAACAAAGAATACATTTAAGCTCCTGAGAGCATGCAACATGCTTAAAAGTAAAATCTTTTATACATTTCAGCAACCACATTTGTGCCAATGAGAATGTCAAATAATGAAATTCCCTTAAGGAGAGACCGGGACAACAACACCATAGAATAATGATCAAGTTTGTTATCATTTCCCCAAACTCTGTTATGAACTAGTAGTACTATATATTTTTCTCCCCAATCCAAAGCAAATTATTATAGAACTTATCGACTAGCCCCAATCAAAAAATTTCACTTGTGATCGCCAGGGATAGTTAATCATAGGGCCTCTGTGCCAACGGGAATCCTCAAACTGAATCATGAAATCGCTAGAGGATAAAATCTTTATGCAGTATCTATCTAATATCCAATCTATATTTTAAAAAATCAAGTCAAATAACTCAATTATATATGAAATAAGTTTGGCAGGGGTTTTCATAGCCCACAATGAAACCATCATTATAAATACACCATCATTATAAATACAATGATAGTATGCAATTTTTTGGCAACTTTCAATGTTATTTAATCAATATTTTAGCACCTGGATTGTAAAATTTCAGCTGAGATCTCTATCAAATGTTTGCTACAAGTTTCATACCTACCCGTCAATATTTGTTGTTCTTTTACACTGATATTAAAAAAGTACAAAATCAAATCCAGGTTGTGCGTTAATTGACAAGGTAATTAATTTTGTCTGATTAGGAAAAAAAAGTTGCATTTTGTCAATGTTTTTGCATTTTTTTCTAGCATATAATTATTATGAACAAGGATCACGAGATCAACAAGTAAAATTTCTTACAGGTTAGACACACACGTGAAAGAAGAACACAAATCATTGTGCATTATACAATTTAAGAAAAGTTTGTGAGAGAAAACCTGTAGTTCTAAACCTTCATGCAGGAAAGCCAAGCCTTCTGCAGCTCCCAAAGCAATCTTTAACCGTAAATTCCAGGGAAGGGGAGGGGAAGCTCTGTTGAAAAGATGGTATTCTAAACTCTTATTAAGCATGTACTCATAAACCAATAGCCTTTGTATCCCTCTTTCACCATCATCAGAACAGTATCCTATGAGTTTCACAAGATTTGGGTGCTCAAGGACTCCTAAAAATCGAACTTCAGCCAACCACTCTTTATGTCCCTGATAGAAAATAATATATAGAATTACAGTACATTCGAGCATAATTAAATAAAAGGGCATTTACATACATACCACCCAATTCCTAAGTATTTACACATGCAACAACTAACTTTACTTTTTACATTTATGCCACCTAAATCTTTCATATCACATCAAAAATACCACTATTTTAACTTTTAAAAAGTAAAATATTTTCATGCATAGATAAAGTGGTATATATATTAAAATTGAAGTTGAGGTGTTAGATAGCAAATACATAGGAAATGAGTGGTATGTATGTGAATCATCTTTAAATAAACCAGAAATATTGACAAGTGGTTATTAGCTAAAGAAAAGTAGAATCATAATTGTAATAACCTGAACCGAATAGGTTTGAAGCGTCTGCTTAGTTTCTATCTGCTCTTTAAATTCCGAATTGGGTTTTAGGGCAGTGCATAGGAGAAAGGGAGGGAGTGAGCGACTACGATTGAGGAGACCTGAGGAGTGCCACGAAGCTAGCAATCTGGCGGCTTGTTTCGCAGGGAGGATTTAGGGGATCAGCAGGTTAATCAACTAGCAGGGAGGTGAACCTTGGGAGTGACATTTTCGATAGTGGAAGAGACCGACCGAGCATGATGGAAAATGAGGAGTTCAATCCTTGTTATTAGGACTCAGAAGCAAAAGAAGGTGATTACTCAATGTTTTACAAAAAGATTGGGGCTTGACATGAATTACTTCCATCTTCCTCTTTGTTTAAAGTAACTTCCAACTCGTAATTTTAGTTTGGTAAATTTTGGCTATGTTGCAAAGTGATATTGAGAGGTTTATTGAGAGCAAATTGAGAAGATTCTGGAGCCAAACCTCTTAATCCAGATCTATTTGTACCCATCTTGGGAAAATTATGAAGACAATAACTTTTATATATTTGTATATGCATCTTGAAATAATATATTTTTGCAATGTAGAATACATTTTATGCTCAGCGATTATGAATAAACATCTAATTCGATAGAGGTATATTATTCTGATGGTAATGTGCACCTAATTCCTTCCCCATATCTTCCTGGTTGAGTGAACATATAAATTGGTACATTGAACACCTTATGCTAATGGGCCCTTATACAACTAAATATATAAATAATTTATTAATGTTTAAAAAAAATTGTGTTTGACTGATCTTTGTGATTATTTAATGGTTTATTGTAAATAACTTTGAGTGTATAATTGATTTAGAATCTTTTGAAGTTAGGGTTAGCGGAGCATCTAGTGTTGGGGCTAGAAGAGTAATGTTATGATCAAAAGCAATGACTACTTATAGTTTGCATTAGGTAGGTGACTACTTACCAAGTAAGAGATAAGCATACCTTTCCTTGATAAGGGCATATTCATTGTTATTTCTATGTATATGTGTTGTTTACAAATCTATATGAAATGTGCTTATTTATTCAATGAATTTCACATTATCATAAAGACTTGATGTGACTGTGAGCTTTATCTTGACTTACTATTGCACGAATTTTTACATTCAATTTTTCTAAGTAATTATAATATTTAATTTTGCATTACTCTTATTGAATGCATTGATTTTTGTTTCTGCAAATTTATGTTATATATATATA